CGCAAATCGCTCCGCCCACTCATTTTATTGGCTACTTGCAAATTTGTCGAATTTTTAATGATGGGACGCGTCGTCTATTTTTTTACGAAAAACATCGAGAGAATATCGTGTCCCCTCTCACGGATACCCCGTAGCTACAGAACGGACAGACGTACTGTACTTCTACTAGGTACACCCTATCTCTAACGTTTGATTGAATTATAGTGATGAATTCTAAAATAAATCTACTTTTTAAAAATATATTTTCAAAAAAATATGCTATTTTATAGAATTTTATATTAATACAAACTTGGTTATAAAATTCAATCGTGCTGGACTAAAACGTGAATGTGTATTCAAGATTTAGACCGTGATTTTTATTCGCTCTGAAAATAACCTGTGAATTTGAAAGTGAATTTTACCGTGTACGTAATTTTCGCGTTTAGGTTATGGTTCTATTATAAACCTTAGAACGTCAACGGTTTATTATAGATGTATCTTTACAGTTGGAAGTTGGAACCTTTGGTTACAACAGCAAAACAAAACACTACTTCATAAGAATTCACCAAAACTTTTTTTTCTTTAGTTTTCAGTCTTTTCTGCTGATGATGTTAACATGGTTAATGAAACGCGCGTCCAGTGCAAACGTATATGTGTTTTGGTTTATTGTCATGAAATAGTGTTTTATTTTGGTGTAGACGCATATGCTAAAAACTAAAGTGTTCTTGAATAGTTGTGTTTTCTTGCTACTGACGACGGCGACGGGAGGAGATATCTATACGTAGGTAGACTTGAAACGGTAAGTATTTTTTTCGATTAGGCAAATATGTTTTACTAGTAAAATATCACTGACAACCTGGTTTCAATTTGGATTCAATCGCATTGAAGTTTACAACAAATAATTTTTTATTTTGTAGATTTTCATCCAGTGGAAAAAAAACAAACCTAGAATTCTTTCTAATGGTGCGTCCAGACCTAAGGAGTCGAGTGCGAGACGAGCGCGAGACATTCGAAATTCGCTAAGTGTAGAATACGGACGGGTCTCGCAAGAGCCTCGCGAGCGTCTCACGATACAACCCATGGAGCCTCGCTGCTATCCGTTCCCTGTCGGTTTTTCGACGGCCGAGATCAAAGAAAGCTCGCGGCCAAGTCTGGACGTGTTTTTGGTAGGCTCGCTCAAATGCGCGATATTAGTGCATATTGAAATGGAGACTTGGACGGAATAAGATGAGCTGAAATTCATCGAGTTATATAAAGCAAAACCAATATTATGGAATCCAAAAGAAAAAGAATATTAAAAAAAAAACAATAAACAGGGTGCGTGGGTAGATATTTCACAATTGATGAATAAAACTTGGGAAGAATATAAAAAAATATTTCTCTACTGGCAACATACAGGAAGGAGATTATAATAGGAAGTTTAATTATTATTGAATCTTGTTACCTAGTAAATTAAATATACAGGGTGAGTCAACGATAAAGTCTATTATATCATTTGTTTTGAGAATTATTAAAAAGTAAAAAGTGTTTTAGAATTATTAAAAAAAATAGAAAAACTGTAGAGAATGTTAAGATACATATTTTAAAATTATTATAGAGTATACACGGTGGTTCAAAATAGTGTTAGGGATATAACATGGTTTTTTAAATGTAATACCCTATTTTTTATTTTATTTTTAGATTCTGCGTAAAATTTTATAACTTTTTTTTATGTATAATGCGAGGTATAATGTTATATACCTAAAACGTTATACCCCTAAAACTAATAGTTTTTGTAATATTTCAATTTGATTAAAAAAAAATGTTAGATTTCAGTGTCGTAAGAAACTGTCAGTCATGCTATTGTTTCTGAAGTTGGAGTTCTAAAATTTGTTAGGATAGTTTTATAGGGACGAAGAAAAAGATATAGGTAAAGATATTTGAGTTGCATGCTACAGTGTGTTCAACATATATTTATGAATTTCGACTATTTAAAATTAAATAATCTCAATTTTTTTAAATGGAACACCGTATGTATTTCATTTTTTTAAATAAAATTTACAAATTTTGCATCACTGACACTTTTTACCGTACCGAAATTTAACATTTCTTTAAACAAATTGAATTATTACAAAATCTATTATTTTAAAAAATTACCAAATTGTACATAGAATCTAATAATAAAATAAAAAATAGGGTATTCCCATTAAAACATACCTATAGGGAAATTAAAATAACTTTGGTTGTACATCATAATACGACCACCAGCAAACTCCATAAGACGACGCGACGCATGGTGTCATTGATGACGTGCAACGAATGTTGTTTTAATTTCCCTTTATATCCGTAACACTTTTTGAAGTACCCTGTATACTATACAGTAATTTTCAAATGTGCTTCTTAACCCTTCCTATAACTTTTCTATTTAACATTTTGTTCTAAAAAACGAATTTTGTAAAAGACGTCGTGTCTCGAAACAAATGGAAGTTAAAAGGGGAAAAATCGACGATGAATAAAATACGACAAACCAAATATCATGTTAAAGATAGAAAAATTTATTACTTATGCGTTATTATCTACTGCAGGTTTTTCATCGGATATGTTTACACAGACCGGTCACCTTTCCCTACGATCCACCTCGCTTGTCTCGTGGCAGGCTTGCGTCAAAAAATGGATAGAACATGTCTTGCTCTCGTCTCGCACTCGTCTTGCTCTTGCCTCGTTTTTGTCTCGCTCTTGTCTTGCTCTCGTCTCGCACTCGACTCCTCAGAGGCCTTATTCTGTAAGTCCCTTATCGATCGATTCGGTAGAATTTGTTCGGTTGTGACGACATTTTCAATTCGGTAGCGCGTAAAGCTAGTCCGTAGCTCCGAACCGAACGGAAACCCTACCGAATCCTCGGTTCCCGTACAGAAAGCTCTAGTTGTCTCGGTAACGTATAATAATTATATTCAACAAATACGTTTTTCTGTCAGGAGTTTGATATTTTTGAAAAAAGGCTAGAAATTGCGTGTTATTGCGAAGGTTTTATTTACGATACACTCGAAAGTATAATTTACATGTATAATTTATATAGTGGGAATGATAGATGTAAAGTGTTCAATAAAGTGAAAATTTGTGATATTTGTCAGGGATATAGATCTAATCAGAGCGTAGAGGTTGGTGAACAGGCTAAAAGCATCAAACATATACTCTCTTTTTATTAACATGTTGTATTTTATTACATTAATATTGTGATTATTTATTATGGGCTTTTTTAATTTAAAATAAATCCAATTAAGTTTTAACAAAGTTTTAATATAAAATAATACTAAAAAAGTTGTTTTAAACAGTTTAAGTTAAACAGTTGTTTAATACTAGTAAAGTTGTTAATTATAACAAAATTGAATAAAAAAATTTCACTCCTTCTAAGCCCACATCTTCACGACATCTTGTGGCCTGCAAAGAAAAAAAAAACTATTAGTCACATGTGCGGAGAATGAAACCATAAAATCCTTATCTTCATAAAAAAAGTATATATTACGCTTCTGTACACTATGTATATTTTAAAAGTATATTTATTTATCAGATTCATATCTTATATACAAGAGTATCCGCAATGGCAATTGCTGCATTCTTAACAGCAACTGATTGCGTTTCCTATACTTTGCCAAAGAAGATTCAACAGCAAGCATTCTTCATTTTTCCTACAAAATTTCCATGTACTTACATAAAGCGAAGCGATACTTCTCTCTGCTGTATAGTCATACTGATTCCTTTCGGTTCCTAAAAGAAAATTTAATATTACTTAATCCTTCTGAAAAAAAAGATCTTATTTACCTGTAAAACTGCCATCACTCACTTATTCTCAAACCTTTAAAAGAAGTTGAGCAGAAGCGTTATAAAAAGGTGAATTTGAACATATAAAAAATTTAAAAAAGCATCAGTCACTATAACGTCCTACTATCATGCTCTAATCATGATTGTTTTTCGGTTGCTTCGAAACCGAACGGTTACCGAAAAGCGATATAGAATCGCACTGCGCGCTACTGAACGTACACTCGACAAACTTTAGCTTTGTTCGGGTTCTCGTTATTACCGATTCTGAACCGTCCTAGAACTGTGATGCGTATGCGCAGAAGAAAATATGAAGACATTATTTCATTTGCGCATGCGCTGCGGAGTTCTAGGACGATTCAGAATCGGTAATAACACGAACCCGAAAAAAGCTTTTATCGTTCGGTAGCGAACCGAATCGAATTTTCGGATCCGAAACCGAAAAAGATACAGAATAGGGCCCCAGGTCTGGACGCACCATAAGAAATAAACCCACCACAAATATATTAACATTTTTATAATATCGCCAACGCGGTTCGGTGTATTTTTCATGTTTTAGCCATGCACGGTTGATTTTTAAATTGTCAATAGTTGTGTATTGCTACGTTTGATTCACTATTCACTATAAACCTATCACAGGGAGTGATTTTTTGATATCTAGTCTTTGGTCATAATAAATGAAGGATACAGGGGAAAACATGATAAGTGCCATTTCACTGATTTTACAGATCACTGGACGGCTAGTAGTTATCAAGTTCTTGCCGTGTATTCTATATTTTTACTAGGCATATATTATAAGATTTAAAAAATTATTGGCCTGCAAAGTTTATACATTTTGTAGGGATAGTTAGAGCCTACTATAATATTGTAAAATCCTAAAATTAAGAAATTGACGCTTATCAAGTTTTTCCCCTGGAACCTTCAAATGCTAACAGTTTATTTATAAAGAAATTATATAATTTATTGTCAAAAATATATAATTTGACAAAACTTATACTTAAACAGTTCGGTGATATTAATCATCAGAAACAAATCAAAAACAGAAATGCTAAAAAAACAAATATCTAAAGTTCACAACCAACGTCACAGAAGTATATAAAATATACTCTGGTATATACGTTTTCTTATATTAGCTACTTATATCATTACTTATAAGAACACAAATAAGTGTAAGGTAGTCGGATACAACACAGAACATCACAAGGTTGCCGTAGGTTACCTCTCACCTGTTTGTGTACTAGAATCGAAAAACGTACTGCTTGTTTCGACGGTCATAGTTGTTAACGTTCCATCCAAGATTTGCGTCGATGAATCCCTTCTCCCTTTGTACCTGCAACACAATTCGTTTTCTATTAATATAAAGAGTGTCTCTTAAATAAGTGCAAGTATTTTAACTGGTAATGACTGGTGGCGGTGCGAGGTTCCATATAGATATACATTTTGGGAGCGTACAATTTAAAAAAAATGAGTTTCACTGTAACCACCGTAATAACAAGGCCGGACAGCTGTGACGTAAAAATCTCGTGACGTCACCAACTGGAGGCCCAACTTTATTTAACAGCGTTGATAATAATTACCCGATAAAATTTCAAATTGTGGATCTTTTTTCACTCACCAGATATATTTCGAAGTTTTAAAATGTCTTTTTCCGAGTTTTTAAAAATATTATAGTATATAAAAATAGTTTTAATAGAATACGGAAAAAATCATACCAGTCAATAAATGTTTATCTCTCACTTTTTATCAATCAAATTTAATAAAGGAATATTTTAAGTTGACAATAGTGTATAATATGAGAAAAATAATAGAGATATGATGATATTGAACAAAAATTTCACTTATAAAAAACCGAGTAAAAAACCTTACTTTGGGTTTCCAGAAGATGAAATAACTAATAGTTTTATTTGAATATATAATTTTTAACAAAGTTTTGCAAAGCCATGAGAAGTTTCTCAAAATTCACAATAAAAAAATATTTTTATCAAAATATCTTTGGATTACATTAAAAGTAATAACACCATTATTCAAATTTCCGCAATGTACTATTTATACTGCTAAGTTATTGTAAAAATTGTCATAAATTCTATTAGAAATACACGTCTGAAAAACTAGTGTTGTTAAAAAATAATGATAGACTTGGAAAAGGAAATAAAAGAAACTTAGACACACTTACAGCATAAATAAATACAATGACGATGGGTAATGTGAGATGGGATATCAATCTGATGTTTTTTAAATTTTATGTTTAATTATTATTTATTAAAAATTCGGTGCAATTAAAGTTTATATCCATTATATACGTATAAAGTGTATCAAATGCAATCAAAGTTTAGGCCTCCAGTTGAAGACGTCACGAATAAGCTGTTCGGCCTTGTTATTACGGTGGTTACGATTTCACACGACTACCGACCTTCGACGGCGACGCGACGGAGAGTAAGCTCAAAAGTATAACAAATTTTTATACATTTCATGATCTTTGGATAAAACATGGTCGTTAGGTCATTAGGTTTTTTAATTCTTAATCGGTATATAATATGGTATATAATTTTTGAATATAATGCTTACTTAATTATGGATGATCCCGACGGACCTATTCTATTTTTTACTTTAGTTGATAATAAATGTAAAAAAGTAGTTAACCTAGTGAGTTTTATAGATGTTTTGGAAATCATTAGTTCCATCATGATGTTATGGAAATCATTGGCTTCATCATAATTGCTATAAAATGAAAAAAAAAAGACCGGTAACCGTTACATCGATTTGCCATTGCCCTCTTTATATACAGGGTGATTCCAGCAAATTATTATAACTAGAGGGCAGAAACACATGTGCATCGTATCGTTAGCTTCCTTCATATTAGGTAACTTTAGTACTTTTTTCTATTAGCATTAAATAAATTTTTAAAAAATTATTAATTTAAACTAGAATTTTTTTTTATTGTTAATAATAAAATTCGTAGTTTTAAGGTAGTTATAATAATTCGCATATTTAAGGTTCTCATTAAAAAAATATTTATTTTTAAATTGTGACAAAATGGTGTTGGATGGACAAAATGGTCTTGGAAATAAACCGAGTAAATAAAAAAACTCAATTTTTATTTTTATCAGTGGCGTACTATTTTTTTTGAAAATATTAGCCGATGATGAAAATAAAAACAAAGTAACTGACATTTTTTAAAAAAATTAGTTTTTACTTTAATGGCACGGATAATAAATAACGAAGTTTTGATACTAGCCAAACAAAGTAACTGCAGTCGTTACTATGCGTTTTCCAATTAAAAACAAAGTAAACGCATTTTGCAATATTAAAAAGGAAGTAACTGAATTGCAGTTACATCGTTTTTATCTTGGAATGTGCATATCGTAAGTATCGTGGGGTAACAATTTAAAAACAAAGTAAGCCTTAGTTTGTTTTTAAGTTGTTACCCCTTCCAAACTAACATTAAAAATCACTACTAAACGATGTTTTTTTTACGGAAGTTAGTTAGTATTCAAAGAGATTTCATTGGGGAAGGATGTCGACTTCAACTTATTTAAGCAAAAGATCGAAAACCTTGGTCCATCAAGTACTGTTCTTAATTAAAAATAAAAACAATTTTTTTCATGCCTATCTTCCAATTTTGGAGAAAGATGTGCAAAAATGTATGGACATAATCCGCTTCTATCGTACCTACTAAGCAATTAAAACTTTTTCCCCATAAACTCATTTGTTTTAAGCGGCTTGGTAAAAATCACAAACACTGTTTTTTCTCGATACAAAGAAATTTACAGTTACTTGGTTTTTATTTTGGACAGCCGAGCTACGCCACTGGTTGAAGCTAAAACCTCTTCTTTTTACATTTAAAGTGTCTCTGTTAGGCAGACTCCTACAATAAAATTTTATAACGATACTTTCAACTGTTAAAAAACTATTAAAGAATATCTTTAATTTTTCAAAAACTTCAACACCCTGTATCTTGCATAAGAGGCATTTCCGACCCATAGTGTGCTATATCAAAATTAATATTTCGACGTCCCCTATCATTCCTCGAAAGCATGACCGACTTACAGGAATCACCCTGTATATCGTAGGTGTGTTTCTTTATTTTATTTTTTAGGGTAGTAACCCAAGTAGCATTTATCTGATTTCGAACTAAATCTGACTTGAAGCGACAGACTCTGACTTGTCAGACTCTGCAAATTGTGGTGATAATACGACCGGTGACGTCGCCTCCTATTAAAAGCGACTTCGTTGGATCCGAGTCGGTAAATCCAACGATCTGTCGACGTACAAAATAATAACGTATCATTTTTATTAATTTCCCAACGTCGTTCCCTCGTTGGTTTGTACGACGTACATATACTTGTACCAGCCCGACGTCTACCCGTTGTCCGAATAGGATACGTCTCACTGATAATCCCTAAAGTAACGTCCAACTATATTTTGTTGTATTTTATGTTCATATTTATAACCTAATTTACGTATCTCTATTTACGTCCGTAAATACAACCCATTAAGTAGCATTTGCGGCTTAATGAACATCATGAACATAACCTAATAAAAAGTTTTTGTAAACAAACTTAATTTTTTTTTATTATGTCTAAAAAACATTAAAAAGGCATTTAGACATTCATCTACATTTTACAGAAAAAAGTCGAGGCTTTTGCAAAATAATAATAGTAATAGTGTCTTGCCTCCACCCACGAATGCTTTTTATCCGGAGGAGATGCTGCATTACACTGGCGCATCTTAATTTCTTTTTTTTGGCTTAGTTTACTGGTTCCAATTCTATCTATCTATACTATCTTAAAAAAGTGACTGCCCATTTTTTTAAGGAGAAAACAAAAACTAAAATATAATTGCAGAAATCCACAAATCACTGATACGCAAAGTGAGGTTACGCCGACGAAACCGTTAAACCGTCATGCTTGGACCTGAATTTTCTTTTGGGTTAAAATTTTTTTAATAGTTGTTTAAAAATTTTTCTTGGTAGATAAACTTGAAAGTTTATCTATTGTTGGGACTTCCTTATACAGGATGGTCTGGTTTGGTTTTTTGTTACTTTGAAATTTTTTAAATTTCAAGGTGTTTGACATTTGATAAAGTTTGAAACTTTATATTTACAGACATTTTGGTTTGTATTTTCCCTATACAGGGTGGACAAGCATTAAATTTTCGACTTTGATTTTTTTATATCTCTAGGTGTTTGAAATTTCATATAAATCATATGAATTTATTCATATAAATTTTGAACGTTATACTTAGTTGAAATTATTTTCATAATTTTACTATACTGGGTGGTCACAACTTGACCATTTTAATTTTGTTTTTGTCGATTAATTGATTGCAATTAATTTTACAAGTTTATGTGATTATCGATAACTGTTAGAGGGAGCTGCTAAACTTACATTTAGGGTTATTTTTTGCGTATAGAAGTACGTTAGGGTTAATCTCATCTCGTCTATTGTTTAGTTTACCTTCAGGTTTCTATGCCAATGTTTTTTTATGCCAATATTTTTATTTAGTATCGCATTCACTATGTTTCATCATTTGAACCTCCAGTGTTGTCAGTTACTATCGACAGTTGCTAGACTGTCCTGTTTGGTACTTTAGGTACATTTTGAGTTTTTTGTCATGACAGTTATACTAGGACTGTTATGTTGATACAGGAAGTGTATCCTTGAGTTTTTTGAGTGTATGACGAGGGTGACTTGTCATATTTGATACGTGAGGTATCGTTTTGTTTTCTTTTGGCAGCTGTCTATGTACGTGTCAAAGGAATGTTTGGTACTTGTTCTGTTATGATAGTTGCCGAATAACTTTTCATACAGACATTTACCGTTTAGTGATTTAATGTCAGGAGGACATTAAATTTTTTTGCAGTGTTGCAGAAGACATATGCGGTGAGCATTTGTCGTATTTATGGTTTACAGTTAGCAGGATGCTACTGTGAACATTTTGGTTGTTAATGATTTTTTTTGGAGACGTCCAAGATCATTAACGTGTTGTCATCATTTGACATGATGAGTTTTTGAGTTATTTGAGCGATTTAGCGCTTGTGACTCAAGGTTAGGGAGGATTGACGTTTGACATTTCTGTTCTCGGATTCTGTTGCCTGGTTTTAATAGTTTTTACTATATCTGATAGCCAATGCAATGTTTCCGAAGAACTATATCTGTGTCAAAACGCGTCAATAGGTTGAGTTTAGTTGGAGTTCTAGTTTTCTCTGTTTATTTGAAGAGATATTTTTTTGATGACACTTGTGTCAGGTTTAGATCTTTTTGTATTGTGAGATATTTTTGTCTTGGTGACATCTATATCATTACAGTTGAGGGTTGGAACCTTTGGTGT